CTAAACAAATTTTCTTTTTATTATATGCAAAAAAAAACGTTTTAAAAAGACATTAAACCTAAAACTGAATGAAAAGCACGCCAAATAATAAAACAACGTGACGACATTTACGACGTCACGTCATTAAGTTGGTACCCAGCTCTGTGCATGCTGGTATTTCACTGAAACAATGTAAGGGTCTTAAATTCAAAACAGTGAAATTATCAAAGTGGTAATTTCACTGTTTCAAACAGTGAAATTACCAGTTTTATATCACTGATATATTTCTATAAACCACCGAAAAGCATATAATAAAAATCAACGTTTGTTATTCTGGTTAGGTTTCGTAATGGGTCTGATCCAAACATTTAATGCAGCACATGAGATAAAAAAAAATGTTAAAAAGCGGCTTATAAAGTTTTGGAAATGATGGCCTTAATATTTTCAAATGATCTTTTCTGTATTTACTGTATATTGTTTGTCTAATGTTGTGAAATAATCAATTTGATTTTTTTCCATGTTAATCTCTGGTTTTTCTACATCAGTATTTTATTTAATGTCAAGATTTCAAGAAAATTAGAGTAAGCAGTGGGACAATGTGATTTTTAGGAAAGAAATGACACTAGTTATGTTTAAGCCTCTATCACATCAGCCGATCAAAATTTGGTTCATAAGTTTTGCAGAGAAATCTGTGCTGTAGAAAGGTCGCAGGAAAATTCCAAGCCAATCTAGACAGATTTGTGATTGTAGAATTTGCTTATGACCCGAGGTAGCCAATTGATGCTTGTGTGACAGCCCTGCGGTTGTCGCATATTCACAAAAAAAATTTACATGAGAACTTAAAGAAATCAATAATCTATCATGGGATTGTCTTAAGACTTCAATAATTTGTCAAAAAATCGCAGAAATAATGTGCATGTTGAGAAATCAGTCTGTGATTGCAGCAACCTTGTGACCTTAAGAATTTGTGTGAATGTCTTGCGGCTCCTGTACAAAACACAACGATTTTTGTAAAAATGCATTTATATGGCTGCTGTTACAAGGGCTGATGTCATAGAGGCTTTAGATTATGTCATGTTTATGCTTTAGCCAAAAGTACTTCAAAAATATTTTATGAAATAACACTTTTCATAAGGTGATTGAGATTGCCTGCACTGAATAAATCTCATTGCATAGTACAATTAGTTGGGCTACTTACTGTGTAGTACTAGTATTAGCATAAGTTGGGCTAAATTTTGCAGACAGTACTAAGTCAAGATATTTTGATGATTCTGAGATATTTTTGTTCCGGGTAAGAATCTTGTTTCACTTTGACAGTACAATTAATTGGGCTACTATTTCTGTAAACAGTAAAAACACCTTTTCCGAGAAACTTTGAAATTCTTCTGTAGATCAAAATGTTGAACTGTATGTAGGTGACAAAAGTTTAAGTCTCAAGACGTTCCATGCAAGAACCTATGGTAAAATTTTGTCTTGTTTTCATTTTACCATCTGGAGGCTAGTGGCTTTAAAAAATGGTAGATTTAAAACCTGATTATCATTGAGAGAGAAACTAAATAGAGGATATTGAATGGGTGTAAGTTCAATACTGAATTTATTGCATGGGTTGAATAAAATTATATTATGCGAGCCTCTGACCAGCATAATATTATTTTATTTAACAAGTGCAATAAATTCAGGAATGAACTTACACCAATTTAATATTCTATTTTTCATTGACGCTCCTATAGTATAACGCTAACATTTAGCGCGTCTTTACACTATGTTTGAAAACGCTAATGAAGCACATCAAAACCCCGTGCAATACCATATAAACGGAGTCGCAAAATCGGCACAGGTGTGTGATAAGTGAGGTTATGTTTCTTTAGTTCTTTATTTAACAATGAAATCTTGGGAATGTGTTTAAAGAAAACTGTTTTCTTTTAGGTAAAGTGGGTGTTTTTAGCTCACCTGTCACAAAGTGACAGGGTGAGCTTTTGTGATCGCTTTTCGTCCGGCGTCTGGCCGTCCGTCCGGCGTCCGTCCGTAAACTTTTGCTTTAAATGACATCTCCTCATAAACCACTGAGCCAATTTCATCCAAACTTCACAGGAATGTTCCTTTGGTGGTCATCTTTAAAAATTGTTCAAAGAATTTAATTCCATGCAGAACTCTGGTTGCCATGGCAACCGAAAGAAAAATCTTTAAATATCTTCTTTTAAACAACCCTAAGAGCTAGAGCTTAGATATTTGGCATGAAACATCTTCTAATGAGTGTCTACCAAGTTTGTTCAAATAAAAGCCCTGGGGTCAAAATTGGCCCCGCCCTAGGGGGTCATTGATTTTTCATATATGCATATAGTTAAAACTTAAAAAAATCTTCTTTTAAAGAGCCGTAAGAGCTAGAGCTAAGATATTTGGCATGAAACATCTTCTAGTAAGTGTCTACCAAGTTTGTTCAAATAAAAGCCCTGGGGTCAAAATTGGCCCCGCCTTGGGGGGGTCATTGATTTTCCCTATATGCATATAGTAAAAACTTTAAAAAATCTTCTTTTAAAGAACCGTAAGAGCTAGAGCTAAGATATTTGGCATGAAACATCTTCTAGTGAGTGTCTACCAAGTTTGTTCAAATAAAAGCCCTGGGGTCAAAATTGGCCCCGCCCTGGGGGGTCATTGATTTTCCCTATATGCATATAGTAAAAACTTAAAAATCTTCTTTTAAAGAACCCAAAGAGCTAGAGCTAAGATATTTGGCATGAAACATCTTCTAGTGAGTGTCTACCAAGTTTGTTCAAATAAAAGCCCTGGGGTCAAAATTGGCCCCGCCCCAGGGGTCATTGTTTTTCCCTATATGCATATAGTAAAAACTTAAAAAATCTTCTTTTAAAGAACCGTAAGAGCTAGAGCTAAGATATTTGGCATGAAACATCTTCTAGTGAGTGTCTACCAAGTTTGTTCAAATAAAAGCCCTGGGGTCAAAATTGGCCCCGCCCCGGGGGTCATTGATTTTCCCTATATGCATATAGTAAAAACTTAAAAATCTTCTTTTAAAGAACTGTAAGAGCTAGAGCTAAGATATTTGGCATGAAACATCTTCTTGTGAATATTTACCAAGTTTGTTCAAATAAAAGCCCTGGGGTCAAAATTGGCCCCGCCCCGGGGGGTCATTGATTTTCCCTATATGCATATAGTAAAAACTTAAAAAATTCTTTTTTTTATAGAACCCAAAGAGCTAGAGCTAAGATATTTGGCATGAAACATCTTCTAGTGAGTGTCTACCCAGTTTGTTTAAATAAAAGCCCTGGGGTCAAAATTGGCCCCGCCCCAGGGTCATTGATTTTCCCTATATGCATATAGTAAAAACTTAAAAAATCTTCTTTTAAAGAACCGTAAGAGCTAGAGCTAAGATATTTGGCATGAAACATCTTCTAGTGAGTGTCTACCAAGTTTGTTCAAATAAAAGCCCTGGGGTCAAAATTGCCCGCCCGGGGGTCATTGATTTTCCCTATATGCATAATAGTAAAAACTTAAAAATCTTCTTTTAAAGAACTGTAAGAGCTAGAGCTAAGATATTTGGCATGAAACATCTTCTAGTAAATGTCTACAAGTTTGTTCAAAATTAAAGCCCTGGGGTCAAAATTGGCCCCGCCCCAGGGGGTCATTGATTTTCCCTATATGCATAAAGTAAAAACTTAAAAAATCTTCTTTTAAAAAACCAAAGAGCTAGAGCTAAGATATTTGGCATGAAACATCTTCTAGTGAATGTCTACAAAGTTTGTTCAAATAAAAGCCATGGGGTCAAAATTGGCCCCGCCCGGGGGTCATTGATTTTCCCTATATGCATATAGTAAAAACTTAAAAAATCTTCTTTTAAAGAACTGTAAGAGCTAGAGCTTAGATATTTGGCATGAAACATCTTCTAGTGAATGTCTACCAAGTTTGTTCAAATAAAAGCCCTGGGGTCAAAATTGGCCCGCCCCAGGGGGTCATTGATTTTCCCTATAAGCATGTAGTAAAAACTTAAAAAATCTTCTTTTAAAGAACCCAAAGAGCTAGAGCTAAGATATTTAGCATGAGACATGTTCTAATGGGTGTCTACCAAGTATGTTCAAATAAAAGCCCTGGGGTCAAAACTGGCCCCGCCACGGGGGTCATTGATTTTCCTTATATGTGTATAGCAAAAACTTAAAAATCTTCTTTGAAAAAAACCAAATAGCTAGAGTTTAGATATTAAGCATGAAACATCTTTAAGTAAATATCTACAAAGTTTGTTCAAATAAAAGCCCGGGGATCAAAACTGGCCCTGCCCGAGGGGTGTCATTGTTTTTAACTATATGTGTAAAACTAAGTAGTGTAAAACATAGTAAAAACTTAAAAAATCTTCTTTTAAAAAACTCAATAAGCTAGAACTTAGATGTTTTGCATGAAACATCTTCTTATGGGTGTCTACCAAGTCTGTTCAAATAAACAAATAAAAGCCCTTGGGTAAAAATTGGCCCCGGTGGGGGGGGGTGGAGGGGCTATATACAGGTGAGCGACCTCAGGGCCATCATGGCCCTCTTGTTTCATTTCATTGCTAGTTGTCGCTCCCAACATTTTCTTAGTGGGCAGTGTCCGTGTAGAAAAATGCAGTTTGTGGTTGGATTTGGTGTCAATAATTGCCCGTTCGAAAAAAATAATTAGACGTTTCTTAGACAAAACTAGTAAGTTTGACTAGATTGGATAATAACCAAGGGCTGGGAAGACTGTTTGAATATTGATAATTTTGAGGTAACTAAAGCATAACTGAAGCATGTTACAAGATTAAAAATCAATCTTGCACATAGTTTTACTGTATTTTACATTGAATTTAGAGCTGTGTTCATGTATGTGCTATGCTAGAAATTGTTATTTTGATGTTAAGCTGCATTTTATCAAGCAGATTGCTTTTTTTAAACAAACTGGTATTGAAAATTGTATACATGTATTATCAAACAGTTTTGTTTATTTTCAATACTGGTATTAGATGTCAAACATTTTAAAAGATTTCATTCAAATTTCAGATTAAAGCGTCTTAAAGAAATCAGGTAATTCAAAAATGCCTTTAAAAAAGAAAAGAGTATCAGCATTTGAGGTTAAATGCAAGGAAACTGTCATAGATGAGAGAACTAAAAGTAAAAACAAACATAAATCTGACAAACCAAAAAGCAAACATGTAGAGGTTGTTGATGCAATTAATTCTCTACCAAAGGAAAAACAAATTGAATATGTAAAATCTGGGAACAAAAAGAAATCAAGAAAATCCAAGAAAGGTAAGAAGTCAGCTAAAGCAAATTCAATTAGTCCTAAAGCTGTTGCCAAAACAAAACAGAAGAGTGAACAAGAGGATAATGGTGACACTAATATTAGTATGGTGGTAATAGATGATGATAATGAAGAAAGTGATATTGCTAGTGACTTGGTTGACATACAAGCAGGTGGGAAAACAGTTGACACAGATAGACCAGAAGATAATAGAAATACTGACAGTGACTCTATAGATTCAGATGTTCACAGTAAGCATGAAAATATAAAGAAAAGAAAGATTGGTTCTTTGGAAAATGATAAAACTGCTGTTGTAAAGAAAAAGTCTAAAAGAGACTTCAATAAGGAAAGTGAGACACAGCCATCAGAAAAGAGTATAGAAGAATCTGTTGATGATAGAGATGACTGGACAGATATAGGTAGAAGACTTCAGTCTAGAGCTGGTTATGGGGACCATTTTGACAGTGGGCAACCCAGCACTCATAAAAGGTACTTAACTCTCATTTAATGCATCAAGTTCTAAAAAATTGTTTGTAATAAGGATGTTTTTAGTTTCTTTTTTATAACTTATGCCCAGTGATTTTTTTCCTTCACTTTCCAACAAATTGCAAACATTGACATGGTAGTGCAGGGAATGATTAATGGGTCAAACTTTGAAAATTACATCCCACTCTCTACCAAAGTCTCCAATCTCCATGGCCGGGGTAGGGTTTGTTTGTTTGATTTGGGTTTTACGTCACACCAGCACAGTATATGTCATTTGGCGCATTCCAGCTTTACTGGTGGAGGAAGACCTTGGGGGCCCCTCCGTGCATTATTTCAGACACAAGCGGGCACCTGAGTAGAACCACTGATGTTCTGTAAGCTAGATGGATAGCTTCCTCACATGAAAGAATCCAAAGTCCCTGTCGGGATTCGAACCCACAGCGGTGAGGGGCAAGTGGTTTGAAGTCAACGACCTTAATCACTCGGCCACGGACGCTCCCGTCTGGGTAGGGACGGTTATACATGTTATAATTGAATGGTGAATAGTTTTAACATTTTTCAAATTTGATGCAATTTATTTTGTATAAATTCAGATAAGATTGTTTGTTTTTTATTTGTCTGCATATGTATATTATATTTTTAAATTTTATATATAGATATTGATAATGATAAAGTTTGGGTGTTGTTGTTTCAGCCCTATAGCTATACCAGTAGGTGACAGTGTTTTAGTGATCGCATCTCATCCATGTGTGTTCCCACTGAAGGGTGTTGTCACAATTCAAGCTGTAGTTGGAACTGCTAGTGTTATGGAATACAATTTAGTGCCTGGTAGTCAAGGTTACGATGTATATTCTCCAGATTGTAACAGTTTAGTAACAGTTAGCACGGTAAAAGGGGTTACAAAGACTAAAACAGCTGTTAACCAAGTTGATTCAATGTTAGGAATTAACGATAAAACTGTCATAAACGTGCTGAAAAACTCCCTAAATGATAGTAAACTTTTGTTGTTCTAAAATTTGACAAATTGAAAACAACTTTATGTTCATTTATCTCAAATTTTCACCCGTACACAAACATATTTAAAGTTGATGGTGATAAAACTTTATTGAATAAGCAGTTACTTCCCCTGTCTGTTAAAATGCCTGGAGAAGATATGGATGTTCCAGAGATCAGTGTGTCAGAACAATTACAGAACGTACTTGATGTAAAGGGAAGAAAAATTTTATACAAAAAAATGAAGGTAATTTTCTTTTTCCCTTCAAATCTGCCTTTAATAAAACAAAGGGGGTCCCCTTTTACCCCTTTAATAAATTTTGAAACCCTTTTAAAATTTCGCAAAAGTTTGAAATTTTACTTAGGATTTCAAAATACTGTGAGTGAGGGGCAAATTTTTTTTAAAAAGGGGGGTTCATCTTTTAAATGGGAAAAATTTGTCAAAAAAAGACCCCCAGGGATTTTTGGGTAGTGAAACCCCGAGTAAAAAAAGCATTAAATAAAACCTATTTGTTTTTAGGGTAATTTTATGAAAACCCAAAAAAAAAAAATTTCATTTTTTATGTATATGAAATTTAAAGGTTTTTAAAAAACTTTTTTATTGTTTAAATTTTTATAAAAGGGGCCCAGAAGTTGTTTTCATGGAAGTACTGGGAAAAATTTTTTTTGAGATTGGGGTTTAAAACCAAAAACTAGTGTGCAAAATTTTCACATCTTTCCTCACCCATTTCTTTCAGAATAAAAATTTTTTAATGTGCAAAATGAAAGAAGAATGAAAAGTGTTGCAATGCTTTCACTTAATCCGGCTAACATTTCACTACAATCGGTTTTCAATATGATTCTGAACCTAGAAATATTGTTTCCCCTCTGCTACCTACCCAAAAAATCACAGCTACCAAAAAAAATTTTAGTGCCTAGCAAAAAGAATTCTTTTCTTTATAACTAAACATGGAAGCAAAGAGTGTCAATGAGAGTCACATGTTTATATATCTCTCATGTTTTATAATGAGACTATACAAACTGGGATTTATGTTGATCCCCTAGCCCAAAATAGGTATTTTTCCTATGAAATGCCCTGTGCACATTTTCTTCACCAAACCATGATTTTACAGTTGCCTGACTTAATCAGCTTGTTGATAATTTTTAATTGACTGAAAGATGGCCCTTTGCTATGTACCATGTATGTAAGTTGAATTGAAAATTGTAAATATTTAAAATGTATGGGTAAATTCCATTCTCAGTGGTTGAACTTGATGTCAGGTTTTTTCCCCCACCCCTTTTCTGATGTATCATGCTATAATAGCATATATTTCCCTCTTTCAGAAAGGCACAGGTTGTTTTGAAAATTCAAAAAAATATCACAGTACTTTGGGGTTTAAAACTTTATTTCAGGTGTGCCAGTAATGTTAGTATGTGGTGGAAGATTCAGGGAAATCTACGTTAAAACAGGCTTTTAAATTCAACATTAAAAAGGTAAAGTTGTAAACATTATGTAAAAAATCAACATTTTTTAAAAAGAGTATTGCTATGTTTGTATAAATAGAAAAAGCTGGTACAAAAGGTGACAAGATATGATTCTTATAACAGATAAATGATTAAACCCTTTCCTTTTGAATTATTTTTAGCATTAGCAAAATCAAACAATCTTGTCCCAGCACTTTGAATATTTCAGTTTCTGACAAAAACTGCCTCAGTTTTTTCCCATGAAAATGAAGACTTATATATTTTATGGTTGTAAAGTAAATTAACTTGCCAGAGGAAGTAATTATCTGAAAGTCTTTTACCGCAACAGACAACTTAAATGAAGAGATAATAATTAATGGAATTCTGGTATATAATCATGTTTATATGTTACAGGTGTAAGAGTGTGTATTATCTGGAGTGTGATATTGGACAGACGAGTTTACTCCCCCTGGAGTAGTTTTCATTGGTAAAAGTTACCCCCTGTATTAGGTAAAAAAAAACTTTTAAACAATAAAAATTGAAACTACTAACCCCTTGCTACTTCAACTGTGGGTTTGTGATTTTTTTTGAAATATTGTCGAAAGATGAATTATAGAAATTATACCCAAAGATTCTAATTAAGGTAAAAACATGTATATAGAGTCTTGAGGCGGCTGAATTACATAAACAAAGACCATGATTTGAACTGACATTTACTCCTAATCGAGTTTTTTAGTTTGATTTTGATTACCCAGTCTTGAATACTTGCACGAGCCATAATAAGAATACAGAAAAATGGATAAATAACCAAATAATACAGAGTTATGGATCATATGAATATATTTAAATGTATTATTAAAA